GCAGAATATTTTTTAGCATTTTTGTTTCTGAATTTTGGGTGCATTTATGACTTCTCACTTGGTTGATTGCATAGCTATTGACCCATTCTGAAGCTAAAACTCCCAATTGTGAGCAAATTTTGGAAAGTCAATTAATGACTATACAAAAGAATAATCAGCCCACTCTTTCCCATTTCTTTATTTGAGTTTCATGGATTTGATTACCTGCATTGTGATCGCACAAGTTTTATCTTTTGTGAGTAATAATAATAATAATAATAATAATAATAATAATAATAATAATAATAATTCGCCTATTACTGATATCTGTAGACCCATCGGCTCTTCTCTGGTGTATTTTACATCAATAGTTTCTAGTTTCATACTTTTATAGTCGCCGCACTGTCTCATAGCCGGGCGATCTCCTTCCAATATAGATAGGCTGAGTATTATCTTTAGCAGAATTCTTTGTCAAACGATCCACATGGGATTAGAAGCTAATAGGATCCTAGCATCGATTGATGGTTTTCATGACATTTGCATGTGTTTGTGAGCTTCCAGCATTTTCTTCTTTTGTCTTTTTCAAAGTAATTGCACGTGTTAGTGGAATTTGTAGTACAATAAGTTCTACTTATATAATCTGAATGAAGGACACTCATTCTATCCCAGTCTCCTCTTCTCATTTCTTATTCAGAAATTTGGTTCCATGTTACATTGTTGCCTATATTTTGCTGGTTGATAGTTGATACCTCAACTTTGAGATGAATAATGTTGTGACATGTTCTGTTTCTTGGTTACCTATTTGATGATACGTGTGACAAATCTTTTCCACCTGTATGGAAATGTTTGACATTGTTGAAGTTGTGAATGAAAGATGGTATTAGTTGTGTGACTAGATTTCATATGGGTCTGTTCGGATGGATTTTGGGGGGTTTGGATGGCTAAGTTTATATCTTTAATAAATAGAATGTTTTGAAAATGCATAAATGATGATTGAAGTGTTATCTGATTAGCTATCATCATCATCAATTATCATCATCATTGTTATTATTATTTTCTTGTAAACTAATGACCTACTCCACTCCGTATTATGTTGTAATTTTGTAAATATCGATTACTCCCTCTGTCCCGCTAAGATAGTCCCATTTTTCCTTTTTGAGAAATCCCACTAAGATTGTCCCATAACAAATTTGGTAAAGTTTGTGTGGTTCTAAGGATGTTTTTACTTGGACTGTAATTTGCTGGTCTGGTCTGATCTGGTCTGGTTTCTTTGTATTTTTATAACTATCCAAGTCTGGTCTGATCTGGTCTGGGACGAATTACAGTCCAAGTAAAAACATCCTAAATCATTTTTGCTTTATTATTACTTTATCAATTCAATATCAACCACATAAACTTACTTTTCTTAATAACCGTGCCACTCCCTCCCTCATATAGACTCAGCCCTTCAAAATCTCCATTTAAAGAGACCCTAAGGAAACATCTGTCAGTAAGTATTCTTCGAGATTATTCATGTCTACATGGTTTCTTTCACCCTACCTAATGCAAAAAAGATTCAGTTGTCTCTCACTCTCTAATGTCAAAACTCCCTCATTCTACAGAAGCTATTACAGATGCTCGAACAGTGGGTGTCCTGCGAAGAAACATGTTGAGAAGGCTTCCCATGATCCAAAAATGGTCATGACGACATACGAAGGGAAGCATGTCCACGATATGCCACCATGTAGGGCTACTACCCTACAAAAGTCAGGCGAGTGTGTCAATGCCACCAATACAAGAATGACAACGAGTGGAGATCCAAGACAATCTGAAACTGTTGAAAACAAATACGATGGTAGCCTTGACATGGTTGTTTATGTTGGGGCCACCTGAGGATGCTTTGGATGAATGGAAGCAACTAATTCGCTCTGGTATAGATAATTTACTCACGGTTCTTCTTGAGGTGTTCTGTGGAGGAGCTCATATTTTTTAAACAAATTAATGAGTAGTGAAACTGGTAAGGAAGAATGGTTGAGGGAAGAGTTCAGGGAAAAAATTATTCCAATAATACCCTTAATGAATGAAAGAGTGTTTAATTCATCAAGAGCATAGGAGTAATAGTTTCATTTGCAATCCATGAACCATCCCCTAAACCATTCTCTCCCCATATATCATTACTCAATTAGTATTACTGATGACAACAAACCAAGTGTCATATTGTGTAATGAGTATGGTCTGTATGGATATATGTAGAGAATGTTCTAGGAAAGAGTTCAATGAAAGAGTATAAAATTGTCCCTATGCCCTTAATGAATTAAATTTGGCTTCCATTCAACAAGGGTATGATTAGAAGAAAATCATTATATTCTTAACCATTGTGTGAACCAGCCAACCATTCTCTGGCCTTTTAACTACTCTTGTCTTAAATTGACATTATGACATAATATACCTGATATGAGGGATGCTCTGGCATAGAATCTAGCTAAGTTTTCTTGACCAGAAATGTAATTATTGTTATTCTGAATGAACATGTTGGAAGTTTGTTATAGTATACCCAAACACAATCTATTTTAGTATAAATGTCTGTTCAAGTCCCCAAAATATGTTTATGATAATATCCTCAACGAATGTTTGACTAACTTTTTATGGTGGCAATAATTAAAGCTGAAATTTTAAAAGTTTAATAGAAATATGTAATTTGTAACTTTTTGTAGAACGTTAAGATTTCTATTTTCCTTTGGAAACAAATAAAAGGTTCATTCTTTTCTTTTATCAAATAATCAGCGATATGGTTTGGGCCATGTTTGGCACACAAAAGCCTCTGTCTTCTCTTTTCTTTAAAAAGATTTTAAAAGACTCTAGTTGTATGTTTGGCATGACTTTTTTTAAGAGCTTTTCAAAAATTAAAAGATCGTTTTTGAGATGCTACCGGGTGTAGCATCTGAGAAAAGCTCGTGACTTTTAGTATTAATTAGTCTTAACAGCTTGTACATCAAACCGAACTAAATCAAACAGTCAACATTTTACCAAACAGTTATCATCTTTTCGTTTTAAGATCTTTTCAGTCACTAAAAGCTAACAGTTATTAAAAAGCTCACAAAAGTATCTTTTCAGCTAGTTGTACCAAACATACCCTTGGACTAATTTCTTTTTGAAAGCTCATATTGATTTTAATGCTGAGTTAATGTGCCCCGTAATATGAAATGTTGGAATAAGATTATGTTGGGTGGTCTTTAAAGTACTACTAGTTTGATACTTTAATATGGTCTTGTAATAAGCAGACGCCAAGATTTCATAATTGCCCATACTGAAAAGGATTAGGGATGCTGCATAATTGTCAATAGTCATCGGTATACGCAGGGTTGTAGCTAGAGGGACCAACCAAGACCACGACGGCACGATCCACCCAAATTTAAAAAATATCGGTATTTTTAGGGTAAAAATTATGTGTAAATTTTATCCCAAAAAATAATCTTTGTATCGGTCTAGTTCGACCCAATGCTATGCCTGGACTCGGGCCGGTTCGGGCCCGGCCGGGCCTCGGGCCAGGAAAGGGAGGCCCGAGCCTGAACCGCCGGTGGCCGGTTCCTGTCCCGATTCCGGGCCAAACCGGGCCGGGCCGAACCGGCCCAATAATTTTTTTTTTGTTCTCCTATTTAATCCCCTACCCCTCCCCCTCAACCCCAAACCATCCCAAACCACCTCAAATGGCCCAAAATACCTAATCCAACCTAAATCTTAAAAAAAATTCAAAAAAAAAAAAAAAATTAAAATCCGGCCCGGACCGGGCCCGAACCGGCCGGGCCGGTTCACCAAAACCTGGGCCCGGGCCCGAACCGCCCAGCAGCCGGGCCGGGCCGAACCGAACCGAACCGAGGGACCCACCGGGCCCCGGGCCGGGCCGGGCCAAATAGTAACCGGGCCGGGCCGGTTCCGGGCCGGGCCGCCCGGCCCGAGTCCAGCACTACCCAATGCTGTGATTCCGCCCCTGGGAATACGAGTGTATTGTCTTTTAAATCTCTCCCTAGAAAAGAGATGCATAAATTCTCCGCCGAGAATATGGGAAGCAGTGATAAAGTTTGGTGTCCGAAATTAATATTCAGCTTTTAACGCAAAATGCAAAGCGTATATAGTACAACTGGCTGTACGACAATTTGGTACAACAAACTTGTAATTTTGGTAAAAATCACGGATTTTCTTAAATGAGTATTAAATCAATTTTGATGAGCATCGAACTTGTTCTTTTGAATATTAGGAACCTAACGGTGAGCATTAGTGATATATGTTGCATTCCTCGTATATCACATTCCGGTTATCATTTTTTCGTTTATTAATGTCTTAAATTATGTCTATAATCAATTTCATTTAATTTCAATATGTGAATCTAATGGATTATGATATGTTTAACATGTGCAACCTTTTAAAATGAGAATAAAACTGTACCAAATGAGTATACATAAATTACAAAATGAGTATCAAAATATTAAAAAAAAAACTCATTTGTGTGTGCTCATTCAGTTTGGGCGTTATACTCATTTGAGTTTAACATAAACTCATGTTTGAAATATGCATAAATATGACATTTTAAAATGAGTCATTTCATTTTCATTTACCCCAATGCCGCAAAGGCTCCCACCTACGGTGGGGTAAGGGGGGTCGGATGTACGCAGTCCCCCTGTACTAAAGCACAAAGAGACTGTTTCCGGATGATCCATAGTGAAAATCGCGTCCAAAACTGCATGGACTGACTGCTGGTTCATAAGAAAGAAGTGCAGACAGTTTAGTGAGCCGTTTTGCTTTATTCAATCATATTCTCAAGCCAAAAAATAATGAATCTTTGGTTCCATGGCAAATGATGGAAAACATTTTAAAATGAGTATTGCACTATTATCAAATGAGCATTCAAAAAATTCATTTGAAATGTCTACTATGCTATACCAACTATTTGAATATATCAAGTATTTGTGGTTAATAGATAGCTTACATAGGTAAACTTTGTGGTTGATATTAAAAATTGATTCGATATTATATAGACAGAATGGCTACGGTATAGATATTATATAAATTCACATGCATGGGTCCATATATGTCATTACTAAGAAGTAAGGACTCCAACAGTCCAACCTGATAGTCATAAGTAAACTGCCAATTATAGATTCTTAATTACCTGACTGTCATAGTTAGCTGCCAATTTCAGAGTACAAGTCATCTTTCAGCAATTAGAATATTCAGTGTACAAATTCATGGTGTTCCGTTTGTCTTGTCAACAGAATCGGACATTCATAATATTATCTGAGTCAACATGAAAGTTGTCATTAAAAAAGTTGGCATTCACTTCAATGGAGCTACAGCCGGGAGTTTTATCCAACCCTCTCTTGGTCATCATCTTCCTCACTTCCCTAGCTTTATGCCACATATTTAATCCTATGTACATGTTCGCAAGCTGAACATAAATCCCACTATCATCTGGATCCAACTGAAGAAGTCTCAAAGCTGCCTTTTCGCCCAACTCAACATTCCGGTGGATTTGACAACCACAAAATAGGGCTCCCCAAACAGAAGCATCTGCATTGATTGGCATACTCATAATCAATGTCTCTGCCTCTTCTAGCAAGCCGGCCCTACCAAGAAGGTCAACCATGCAGGAATAATGTTTTGATTTCGGGGAAACGTTAAATCTTGAGGTCATTTCAGCAAAAACCTTACGGCCCTCATCGACTAAACCTCCATGCCTACAGGCCAAGAGGACCCCAAGAAATGTGACATCATCCGGTTCAAGACCTGCATCATCAACCATCATTCTGAAATGGGATAAGGCCTTGTGTGGATCTCCATGAAGTGCTAGGGAACCGATAACAGCTGTCCAAGTCATAGCATTTTTCTTTGGCATCTCGTGGAAAACCTGAATTGACTTCTCAAGATTGCCACACTTTGCATACATATCAATTAGAGCAGTCCCAAGAGAGACATTAAGGGAGAGATTGTGGAGTTTGATGTATTGATGAATCCAACAACCCATTTCATGAGCTCCTACTTGTGAGCAAGCGGATAGACAACAAACCATGGTCACCTCGTCAGGCTTAACATTCATTGCTTGCATGTCTTGAAACAAAACCAAAGCCTCTTTTCCACAATAGGCTTGCACGTATCCTCCAATCATAGCATTCCATGTGACAACATTGCCTTTGTGTGGAAGCTCATCAAACAACTTTCTTGCATTGTTTAAAAAACCAAACTTCACATACCCAGTTATCATAGTTGTCCAAGTGACATGAGTTCTTTCCCCCATGCTACCAAACAAAGCCTTTGCTTTCTCAATATCCCCACATTTCACATACATGTCTATAAGTGAATTACACAGAGGTAAAGATACATTTATTGCATTTTCCACAACAAATCTATGAAATTTCACAGCAAGGTCTAAATCTTTGAGCTGCCCGCATGCTAAAGCCATTCCAATCATAGTGATCTCGTCCGGCTCAACTCTCTCAATTCTCATTTCCCTAAAAACGCTCAGTGCCTCACGAGGTTTTGCACTCTTTACATACCCGTTAATCAACGAATTCCACAAAACCACATCTCTCTCACAAATTTCACCAAACACCTTCTCTGCAACTTCAAACTTTCCAGAACACACCAAGAAGTGAACCAAAGCATTGTGCACAAACCTATCTTGATAATGACCCATTTTTGTAACATGCCCAAGAATCTCAAAACCCATGTAGGACAATGACATTCTGCCACAAACCTTAAACAACAATGGAAAAGTGTAATTGTCTGGCCTTAAAGCATCATCAGAATCATTGTTATTGTTGACACACACTAACATGTCTTTATACAAAAATAAAGCTTCAATTGGGTTTTGGCTTTCACTAAAACCTCTAATAGCAACATTCCAAGAAAATGAATTTGAGTTTAGGATATGATACAACAATGCTTTGCAGTAATGAAGACTTCCCATTTCTGAGATAGCACAAAAGGCAATCAAGCGACTAGATGCCAATCCATTTAAAAATAGGCCAGTGGTGACCATTTGGGCCTGAATTTGCTTGAGATGGGCCATGCATTTGCAATGGTTTTCAAGAAAAGAAAGGAGGGGGTTCGAGAGGATGAACGAATGGGTAGTGCTCCAATTACGTTGAGTGGTTTGAGGTTTATGGCGAGTTATCAAATGAGAGTAGCAGTGGAATAATGATAAAGAACAAGGAGAATAAGTTCTTAATAAAAGACAGGGTTTCGATGTACAGAATTGTTGGCGTGATTTGAGGATCAAATGATGTAAAGAGCGGCCATGGCAATTACACATTCCCAAAAGTTACTGACTAATACCTGCAACAGAGAAGCAAAGATTAGGTGGTCCCAACTATTCCAAGGTGTTGGATGGAGTTATGGTATGTATAGATATATCTACTTATTACTCTTATAAATAATTGATTTACATATATTCGGAGTGTCCACGAGTACGTTACAAACACATCTAAGTATTATTATTAATTTTTTTATCATGTATATTCTTATGATTAGTACGTCTTGATTTAGTATACATCCTAATCATGCGGGTATCATATAGAACTTTTGACTGAGCTTGCCAGAAGGGAAAAGGAAGCAGTCATTTTTCCTGATGCAGAAGATAATCTTTTTATGAAGGTAATTATTATCTTTTCATATTTTTTTTTTTGCAATCACTCTTAACTATTTATAATATCAATTAAAAACAAGTGATACATGAAAAGATCCTTTGGTTATTATGTGGATATTGGATAAGGATACACAATGTACAAAATAAAAAACTACTGGATTAAAGAGACTGTGTTAACCAATGCATGTGCAACTATCAAATTTAAATGTTTTATTTTTAGGTGACGAACTGACAAAGTGTCTTACAGATTTTCATGTGAAGTTATGTCATATTATACATATATGTAAAAACAAATATATGTAATTACAAAAACATATTGTATATATCAAGGTATATAAGTTAACTCAAATATTTCCAACCTTCTATATTCAAGATTTGTGTAAGCGTAGTTTGATTAGTTTGTAGGAACAATTTTATTCTATCAATGTTATATTTTTGGGTTTCACCTGTTCTACGGTTTGTGTCATGTGAGAACTTTTTCAATCATCTACTTTATTACAAAAAACTAATATTTCGTTTAATTTGTCAACTACTTGCCAACAATGAGTAAAAAACAACTTATATATATAACAAATAATGTAAAGAGACCTGACTATTTTTTCATAAAGTACTGTGGTAAAATGCTTTTCTTTGTTATAGTTTTATTTTCAATCTTGCAATTATATATATTATTCGTAACAAATGGATTTGGCCGTGCAATCAGCCATCGAAGAGGAATAGGAGACAAAGTGAAGGTGAAAATTTGATAATGAAAGGATAGGGTAGAATGGGGCCTAATGTTTCTGATGGGAGATTAGAAATGGAGGGTGTTTGTGGGTATATGTCTATGTGAAATTAAACTTGGACACTTTTTTAACATCTATACACGTTGGTGTTGTTGTCATCAAGTCGAGAAAATTTTACTATTTTTCAGCTGCTCATTTCTTGGTATAAATTAGAACAAAGAAGGTAATGGCCCAATAAAAATGGAGCAAATAAAAAAAAATGTAAATAGATATACAAAAAAATGGAGGTAAACTTATTTACTTTGTTCTCATAAACAATCATTTGGTAATACTGGAATTGGAAGAATCTGCTCAAGTTACTAAAACTAAGGTGAATGGCAAAATCTGTTAAATCATACAGAAATAATTAAATATACTTTATAATAATAATAATAATAATAATAATAAGTTTAAGAAAAAGAGGGTTATATGGTCATATTCATCCAGTTAAGTTAATTAATTTGTTGGAAAAGCACCTCTAACCTTGCTTTTATCATTACAAATCATCTAAGCACGTAAAATCAAAATATTTATGTTTGATAAAATTTCGGGCTGATAAGCGTAACATGGTTACCAAACGGACACCGAAAATGAAAATAATAAACACCAGTAAATGGTGCAATTTTTTAGAAACAACATTATACAATAGAGCCTCCCCACATACTCACATTTGTGGCAATAGGGGAATTTCTGTTTGAACCAAGTGCTGTAATAGGGACAAAATGGCCAGGGATTTGATCAGCATTTTCAAAGTTGATTAAGTACTTGACATCAAATGTTAAAAAAAAACACCTCCCAGACCACAAAATGTCATTAAAGTTCAAATATAATCATACCTAAGTTCCATATGAGCATCAACAACAACATCCCAAAAGAGATTAACGTTCCCCATGAACATGTTTTGATATATTTGCAGCCTTGAAGGCATTCCTGCATCTTGCATTATCCTCTCAAGGGTAGTTAAATAATCTTCATTAGTGGGCTATCACATCTTCCTTTTCAAATAATTGGATGATCACCATTAACAATTAAATCAATAGCAGCTAAATTCATGTGGCTGCTAGAGAAACCATACATGATACATATACCCTCCCCACTCATTCCGACAAACTGAAGTAACATCAAGAAGTAGGGCACACCAGTAATGGGCTCTACTGACCCTGCTTTTCCAGATTACCACAAGGGCGCAAGGTAAATTTCTCAAAATAACCTTCATAACCCTGGATATGATGGTATAGTATTAGCGAAAACTGGAATGAACTGTGATAGAGGCTCTAAAGTAATCAAATAGTTCCTTTACTTGTGGGATTTGTAAGTGGCTAACGGAAACTTCTTTCTCTTTGTATTGGTTAACTGGAATTTCTAACACAAGTTTATAACTTATACTGAGCACTATTTAAGGTTCAAAAATCAAAGAATCAAACAGATTACCAAATGGAATTCAAGATTCATCCATTACAGAAACTAGACTAATGTACCTTCGAAAATTAAGCCTCAATTATCCCAGGATAACATAGATTATATAGCAAGTTTCAGTTTTTGTGTACTTAACATCACGAGCTGCAATTCCAGCCAATTCCAAAACCTGAAATGACCAAAATCAATCATTGAATTTTCACAAATAGAAGTAAGTGAAAATTGTAATGCAAACTGTTTAATTTATACACTCACACATATTACCTCAACTAATACCCTGAGGGATGCTATCAGCTAGGCTCAGACGTTTGAACACCTGAATCTCATGCCTCTGCTCTCCCTTTTTTAAACGGGTTGAGGAGAGTAGGGTTACTGCATACCTCCAATTCAACTAAAGCTGGTGAAATACACTGTAGGGAGCAACCAAGTGTAAGGCGGAGGGCGAAACTGCCTTGAGCCCTGGTCAAATCGGACTGGAAACAACAAACGTGGGGTACTCCATAGATGCATACTTTTTTCCCTCCAACTTGAATTATGCCGGGCCCGTTTGTTAATACAAAAATGGACTGAATTGGTTGTTGAAATTCATGAAATTCACTAAATTGATTTATTCTGCAAAAAAAATATCGAAAATATATGTTATTAATAAAATAAAGAACAAAATATATGTAAAAATAGCTGAAATAATCGTCTACAATAACTTCAATTTATACGGGCAAAAAAGTAACTCCAACCTTACTTTTTCTTATTATTACACAATTCAGGGCATGAAATCAAAATTACGTGTTTGATGAACAAATTTGACTGATAAATCGAAAAATAGGGTTACCAAACCGCCTCATAAACTTTGGATTTCGGAAAGTTTAAATATAAGTGGTAATTGTTGAGGGAAATTAGATATACTGTCCTCTCTAGCTCACTTTTAGAAGAATATAGTGTCCTCACTTTGAATAATACCGAGTGTGTATTAGCATCCTAAAAATACTACTGGTCTAAAGAATGTGAATTTTGGGTCCTACATAATTTGCTCCCTATGTCCTTAATAACTTTATCAAGTTTGATCAATGTGAAAAATTATAAAGTAAAAAAAGTGTGGTAGTTAAGTTTGTACAAGAGAAATAGAAATTACAAGAATTGCAAATTCGTTGATTAAAAAGAAAAGTGACAAAGTTTTTTAGACAACTCAAATATGAAAATGACAAAGTTATAAAAGATGAAGGGAGTATGTGTAATGTGTTATGTGCATATTGGTCCATCATTGTAATCTAAAATCTCTCTTTATTTATATACATTTGGTAATAAAACTATATAAACAATTCTTTCAAGCCTTTCTAAAATCCTTTCGTCGCTCACTTAGTTAGTCGCACCACCTTATCATATCGCCAAATCGTTCGCTAAAGGTCACGGGCGACAATGAGACGACCGGTGATGAAGATGACAGACGGATATAAAAATGATGACTTAGATGATCTCCTACGAACAATCGGCGACGAGACAATCATTGACGAAGAGTAATGATGAACTAAATCTCCTCTTTTATAATCACTCGAGAATATGAATCTTGAGATAAAAATGACAATTGACGTCCATAATAGGATTGACCGAGATCGGTTCCTCATCAATGGAAAGAATGACTAAGACTGATCGTGAACGGTTGAAGCAATGACTAAGATATGGAGAACTATTGAAACCACTTATATACGTTTCTTCTTGGGATTTTTTTCTTACATGGCTCTCAAGGAGAGTATTTATAGTAGACCTGCACAAAAACGGGTTCAGGCCGGGCTTTTTATAAATTTTTTGCCCATCATGTGTGGGCGGGCCCGGCCCGGCCCGCAAAAACGGGCCTAACTCCATGTCCATACCCGCCCGTAAAAGCGGGCCGGGTAGTCCACCGGGCCTCCCGGCCCGGAAAAACATTAAATTTTTCTAAATTATATAATTTTTTTTAATACTTTAATAATAATATGACATCATCTAAAAAATTGTTAATACGCTTCTAATATTTATAGGCCTTTCACCACATACAAAAATAATACTTACATAAAAATAATAATGAGAAACTATATCTAAAATTTAAATTTCAAGCAAAAAGTATTATCTTTAAGTACAAAAATAGATACGATATTAGTTGGACTAGTTGTTAAGAACTAAAAACTTAAATTTACATATAATAAACTATAAATATGTATAAAGGTAAATTATATTAGTAAATATAAATATACATGTGTACATGTACATAAATAAATAAAGTAGTATATATATATATAGACACACACACACTAAATGTAGCGGGCCGGGCTTATCGGTCCGAACAGGCCTACACCCTAACTCAAGCCCGCCCATTTGTGTGGGCCGGTTGGGCGTTCCGGGCGGGCCGGCCCGGTTTTGTACAGGTCTAATTTATAGAAAAAATGTGGGTTAAACCAAGATTAGGCCTAGTAGGTCCAACTACTTAAAGGTTAATAGATGATAAATAAAGGCTAATAAATGTTATAAAAGGCTAATCAAATAGACCTAAATCAATTTTTAATTTAAACTGCACAATAATGTGATTGCTACTTGCTAGTCATGAAATGTATGCTGTCCATTGTTCAACTGAATAATACTAAAATCATGGCTCTAGACACTAGTCCATGTTTAAACTGTACATACATGTGTCTATAAATTGAATATAGACACATTCGCTATAAATGTTATTGTGGTCACTTAAGGAGTGTTTGCAACTGCTTCTGCTTAAAAAAAAGCACTTTTGGAGAAGTAAGGAAAAAGTGATTGGTAGTAAAAGTTGATAGTGTTTGAGAAAAAAGTGATTTTGAAAAGTAAAAGTTGGTAGTGTTTGGTAAAATAAGTGCTTTTTGTGTAATAGAAAAAGGAAAAGCACTTTTCACACGCAAGCCGAGAAAAAGTAAAAATTGATAGTGTTTGGTAAATAAGTGCTTTTTAAAGCCAAAAGCTGAGAAGTGCTTTTTTTTAAGCAGTTGCAAACACTCCTTTAATATAAAGGTTGCGCATTTGACCATTTTATTTAAGCTAAATATTACTCATCATTACCATATTTTTGTTGTAAAATTGATAGTTTGATAAGTGGGAATTATTTATCCCAGTAATTGAGATGCCTTTTTAGTTCGTTACTGGTAATCAAAGATGGACAAATATCCAAATTTACAATACCCTCGAAAATGTGTAAATTTATTTATCATCAACCCATCAGTCCATCACAACAATAAGCAAGGAGTGATAGACGGATTGTGTTCATTATTGAATTTCATTTCATTATATCCTGCAGTGCACAGTATAGCAGCAGCATCAACTCATCCCTTTGGGACGCATCTAAACCCAAATCAAACCAAGGAGGGAAGCTGAGAGAGGCATAAAAGTTGGGCGAGTCTTCAAGAAGAGAGAGATGCGAACCAGTCAGAGAAAAGAAGAGAAATTATTCTCTCATGGGTTTCTTCTTCTTTCTCTACTATTAGCATGCTGGTCGTCTCCAGCTCTTGCTCAGATAGATCAGGTTCTCTCAATTCAATTCTTTGACATTATTCGGAAAACCCCTTTATGTGAATTTCCTGTGAGAGTAATTATCGGCATGTTTCATTCTCCCCAAACTTTACTTTCGATTAAAATATATTCGGGTTTATCTTATGCGTGTATAAGACGGTTTGGAAATGCTTTCTTAAATCAATGGAACAGCTCAATAGCCCTGATTAATTCACTAGATGGTATAGTAATGGTTAGGTCCCATTAGTTATTATTATCACAGCATAAAGAGAAATTATTCAAATGAGTTCTTGACTTTGGGTTTCTTTCTCCAGACACTATTTCACGTTTCAGTTGTATACCTTTCTATTATTTATTTATTTTCCTGGTGAAATCACATGTATCATTAAAAAAGATGTTTCCTTTTTAAAGGGCAGTCTTTGTGGCCCAGTTCTTGTTGGTCTCAAGCTTTTGTTTCCTTTCGGTGCAGGACTTAGAGCAATTATCATCACGGTAAGATTTTGCGGTTTTAATTTCTTGATTTAATTTGAATACAGTGCTGCTGACACGCATTGGACTTCAGAATGTGAAAATTCAAGATTGAAATACTAAGAAATGAATTAGATCATACAAAAGTGTGCAATGTTCTGTTTTCTATATGAAAATCAGTATTGTGTTTTCATTTTAGCACATGGGTTTTAGCTGCAGGATGAATACCTAAATGCGGTGTATATTAATACCAGAAAAAACTCGGTGCTTTTATGCTTGATTTAGGAGTCTTGACCAAGAGCAATCCGGTGTTCATGAAGTTCATTGCTCCAGGGAGAGAAGCCGAGCTGCATGGAAAGTTATAGATGAGGTACATTACTACATTCAGATCATCAGTGCATAAAACTGAGATTTTTTATGGGTTCCTTTATTAAACGAGAAGTTGAACTTGATTTGGGTGATGGCCTTGGCGTGCAGTATTTGCTACCATTCCTTGAACAAGAAAAGTATGAGCTCTTAAGAACATGTAGACTTCATCCGAGTAATGACATTTTCAGAGAACAGGAGGAACACAAGATTCATGTGGATATAAATGATTGGCGCTGTGGATATTGCAAAAAAGTTTTCCGAGCTGAAAAGTTTCTTGATCAACATTTTGACAATAGACATTCTAATCTTCTAAATGTTGTACGTTTCGAGTTCCTCTCTCTTCTGTCATTTGTTATTTATTTATTTTCATAAACAATTATCATAATTCTTATGGACCGTTATGCTTATAATAATAATTATAATAATTATCTGTGAGAATGGTGAGATACGGGTTTTGTATTAGGGATAAATACCCATCTATGAGTAAAACTCATCACAGTTCCCAAAGTATGACTAAAGATGTTTGTTTACCAATTACCACCATATGACTATAAAAGATTTTAAAACATGACATCCGTATAAATAAAGAGTATTTGGAATGAACATAAATAATACACGGCGGATAATTATGGTATCATATTTGGAAAAAAACCCTGTAAAGTTCATATTTATAGCAACTTAGCAAGTCATATTTTGAGAAAAGTTAGAACTTTTAGTCACATGTGAGGTAAATTTCTCTTTATATTACACTGTCTATTAAACACTGTCTGTCAGATCTGAAAAATTCAAGTTATGCTGAAAGTGTAGGTCACATCACTTTCTTATGATCAGTTTCCATCTTCTTCAGAAGTTAAGACCTATGAAAAGGCCAGATCACTTTTTCCTGTCGGTGTTCATTGTCTATAAGAGGTTTCCACATATAGGACTACTAATAATTGCATGACTAAATATGTACTCCGTATTATTTTAGGCATAAAAACTTGCAAGTCCTCATAAGTTTTATATTGGTATTCTATCAGCCAGACAGCCAGTGCTTAAGGCCAGTTCTTCTTTCTGATGTTATTCTCTCATGCTTCCCCTTTTATATATTTGTACTTGGTTTCTTCAGTAGTCATTTTGCATTTTGTCTGTATTTATCGTTCTAATCACCGATTATATCATCTTAACATAGCCAGTTCATTAAAAAGACCAAATAAATGTATGTCTCTAGCCATATCAGTTTTTGGTGTTAGTAAAACTTATTATGCTTTTTCGACAGTCCTTTGGTAGTACCTTTTTTACCTTAATGTTCCAACTTAATGCTTCCTACTTCAGAGTCATAGCAAGTGCTTGGCAGATCTGTGTGGAGCATTGCATTGTGATCTTATGGAACAGCCAAAACCTTGGAAGACAAAATGCAACCCCGCTGCTGCTGCAAGGAATCATCATTTATGTGAGGTTGTCAAAATGCACACTGACCAAGTTTTTGACTTTCCACTTTTATTTTTGTTAACAATGCCTGCCTGCCTGTGCTCTTACTATGCAGGGTCTTGCAAACAGCTGTTTTCCAGTTAACCAGGGTCCAAAAGCATCTCGTCTCCATGGTATGTGGCACGCCCTATAAAACGACTGCGGAGTACAGGTTATAACAATTAAAAACAGCTTATTTTGGGTATTTAAGTAGCTAATTTTTCTTTCCATTTTGTAGAGTTGTTTCTGCGCCAGTTTTGTGATGCCCATTCTTGCTCGGGCAAGAAAAAACCTTTTCCTAAAGGAGGCAGGGTAAGGATTAATCAACTATCGCCTTTTCTGAAGATATATGGCTAAATTTTAAAAAATTGAGGAAAATAAATAATGTTTTGGATATTTAGGTTAGATCACATAACAATATGTTTTGGATAAATTTCAAAATACAGAATGTATAAAGTTCTTCTGTGAATGGTGGCAACATCTTTATAGGACACATTATAAATAAAGGTATATAGATTAAAGTCTCCTGAACATGCTACAAAGCCCCACGTTTGATGCACTGGAAAAGGTGGAGTGCACTAGATAAGGTAGTAATAAAATTGGCTAATATGTAATAAACTAAAATTACTATTTTTGTTGGTATGATTTTGAACATACAACTTGTAACTTTTAAAGATCATTACTTTTTTTTGTAGAGAATAAGAAACTGAAACCCCATTGGAACAAGAATCCTAAACCTAATGAGAATAAGAAACCATAATACTACTTAAACAAGATAGACTTTATTCGGTTATTTACTTCGTGTGTACTTTTGACAAAAATTATACTCTCATCCAAAAAAAATCATGTTTCTTCTATGAACATTTTTTAAATTTTTTGTTGGATACACCACTTCACTCTTGAGTTTTGTCACTTACCAATCCTAATGGTTTTTATTTTATTTTGTTGTAGAATAGGCTTAATATACTTGACTTGTTTGGATCACTTTTCTCGAAAAAGAAATTAAAATAAATGCTTTCTTGAAGTATAACTTTTTTTTTCCGGGATAGATTGAGTAGATCTGAAGTTTCTAGTGTACAAATAAGCATACAAATATGGACCGAGAAAAGAGAATATAATTCCTTATCTTCCACTGATCAAATACAGGGCGATTGACATACTGTTTTTATACATGATGCAGAAACATACAAATAGATTCTATTTGGCAGCTTCAATTTTAACTTTGATGCTTCTTCCTTTCTTCTACCTAATTGTTTACCTTTCTCAAAGGTACTATATCCACCCTCAAATACTATTCAGTCTTCTTCATTTCCTCAAACCTTGCCCTGCCCATAAAGTGTTATGTTTTTGCTTGCAGAGAAAGAAGGGGAACTCAAAACTTGAGGAGGATCACAAAAGTTGGGAAAAAGTCAAAGCCTTGGTAGTGGTTACGTACAAAATGAAACAAATTTTAGTAAGGAATATTACAGAGGAAGAAGAAATGGAAGGGGCAAATTAGATTGTTGAAGGCGCATTCTTAGCATGGAATTTGTTGTAACATTTCCACAAGCAACCAAATAACAAATTTGGTTTGAGAGATGACATTTGAGATTATGATAAAGAATGCTCACTGTAGGGTAATTCTTTCCTGCTCTTGCATGTGTCAACTGTCAACTAGTGTGTGTTGTAATATTAAAAAAATTACCATTTATGATGTCAAAAATAAAGAGCATGGGCTACTTTCCTCTCAAGTTATCCTTCTGTGTGTTGGATATCTGTGTAACCAGTTTTACCCATATCCCTCCAAGTTGGAAAATTACATTGTAGACCTTAATAAATGTAATGGAATCAAATACTCCAAAATTAGACTTTAAAAGAATAAACTAGGACTGAGATTTTAAAACCAGGAATTGGAGAATCGATTAGAACTTGAAAAAAACATGGCCATGTCGTAGAGTCGCACAAAAATAAAGTGTTTTTTTTTGTGTGCTCCAACACACTCTCTATACGGTTAGGTGGAGGTGAGCTGTACAAAATAAATGTTCACATTGTGAACTCCACTTTCTCATCCTGAAAAGTCAGTTACACAGTTTGACTCATCACTTAAAAATATATCGTGCGAATAAAATGGCGCTTCTTTAGAGTTTTGGTAAATAAATGGCACCTTATCTTCTGAAAATTTAGCGCGCATCTCCTCCCTAAGCTATAAAAGTTACTGTCCTTGTTCGATCTGATAGCTAGAACGTAAATTGGAGTTTTGAAATTACAAGGAAAGGAGCTGCATCCGTAGACAACAAGAAGTTTTCTACCAGGAGTTCTGAATCAGATAGTTGTACCTGTGCGGGATTGACCAGGTAGAAATGAAATCAATATTTGGGGATTATTTAATTTAGAGAGTGCTATTGTGTGCTTTTGATAATCTGGTCCAATTCACCTGCAACATGAATAATCTATGATTACAAATATAGTGGAGTAATACTAACGCAACTTGCTTTCATAGTGGACATTAAACAACTAAAGTAATACTACCTCCGTCCCTTTTATATTGGGACGGAAGAGGGTGACACGAGTTTTAAGAAAAGTGGGTTTGCGTGGTTGATATTAATTGATAAAGTAAGAATGATTTTGAGCCACACAAACTTTACCAAATAGGGACAGCCCAATATGATAAAACGAGATATTAAAAAGGGGATAGAGGGAGTATTAATGACATGAAGCAAGTTGATTTTTAAAGTGGAATTTGCGGAATTATTATGGGTAGTGTACTTTTACATATTAAATTCATTTCAGAGATGTTTTGACTAATTAAAAACGTAATTATCCTTTTCATGCTATATCTAGAATGCATAAATGCTATACCTACACTAAAATACTGCTATATAAAGTATGGACACATGTGTGCTTTCTTTGGACTTGAGAGAAGTAATACCTTAGTAATACTACTCGGTACAACACAGGATGTTTCCCAATCTGTGATGTTTATATCTAACAAATCTGTCATGTTTATTCTAACAAAAGCTCTTTATTTTGTGGTGTAATGTGATGCATATGAAGTATTGGAGTACCAATAAATGGATTCACAAGACAATGTTAACATTTCATTTGCTAGTGCCAGCGAATAGGGATAACAATTGTAACCGATCCAATGGATAACCACACCGAACCTCACCGACCAAAGCGGGGAAAATCGCATTGATCGGATAACGGGTACGGGGTGGGGAATACCCATTTTGATTTTATGAGTAACGAGACGGTTACAGTTTTATACATGCCCGCCCCATTACCCCCTCATACCCATCCTGTTTATTTTTTTTTGCTATATTTTTATTACATTTGTGTCTATTATTTGTCCCACAATTATTAAAAGATGATGTTTTTCTATTTTCATTGTGTATATATGAATAATAGATGTACCAACTATAATGTATGAATGAAAGTTCAAAAAACAAATCTTATTAATAGTCTTGTTTGATTATTATCAATTTTTTTCTTGATTAATTATTTTTCATATCTAGTATTTCTAGGTTCAAAATAATTTAGGTTGCCTTCTTTCTCGTCATTTAGATATACGAAACTTTAAACTGGCGTATGAGTCTAGAGTCTAGACTCATCTAAGTGATGCCATTTTTCGCCTTTTAAAATATACTAAATCCGGTTACATGCGGTAACTCGTGGTTATACCCGTTACCCGTTGGGAGGGTTATGGTTTGAGCAAAAGTTACTCGTTGGGTAATGTGGCGGTTACAGGGCGGGGGAATTACCGAATAGGGTGGGTACAGTTATATGTAAAACTGTTCCCCATCTGCCCCGTTGCCATCCCTACCAGCGAACCCCCAATTATGTGATGCCACCTCATAATTTGAACCAATTCAGTCCATTGAACATCCTCATGCAGCCTATATATCACTTTGATCCAAGTAATGGATCATATGTTGTTCATATGGATGAGAAGTTGAGAACTATATGCCCAGATTGTCTTTCCAAAATATGGTGAATATAATGCTCGTGTTAGTACTCCAAAGTCCAAATGGTGAGTCATTGAATGCATAAAAAAAGAAGGTTAAAGGCATTCAAGATGCTGAAGCCTCTCAACTTGCAACAATTAAGCAAGGTTGGATAGGCATGGATCGGGCCCGGGTCGGGTCGGGCCTGACCGGGCTTTTTGGAAGATAATTGAGGCCCGGAACCGGCCCGGTTATCCACCGGGTCCGGGCCTCGGGCCGATTCCTATTTTTTTTCTTTTCTAATTACCCCCCCCCCCCCCCCCGCTCACCCCACCCCCAAACCACCCCAAACCACCCAGCCAAACCCGTGAAAATAAAAAAAATTGAAAAAACAAAAAAAATTAAAAAAGCCCGAACCGGGCCCGGCCCGGCCGGGCCGGTTCCTAATTTGGGTGACCCGAGTCCGCCCAACTTAACCCCCAGGCCGGGCCTAACCGAACCGGTCTCGACCGGGCCACCGGGCCGGGCCGGTTCCAAATAGTGCCGGTTCCGGGCCGGTTCCAGGCCCGGCGACTTGACCCGAGTCCACCACTAAGGCTGGATTGTTAAAGAAATAAATAGATTGTTATAATAAATGAATAAAAAATAAAAGAAAAAATAAAGAAAAGCAACAAGTAAATTAAAGAAAAAGAAAGAAGGGAAACAAGTCAAACGAAAAAACAAAATGAAAACAGAGAAAAGAAAAAAAAGTAATGCCGGCCGAAGAAAAAGAGAAGCAACAGAAATTCAGAAAACAGTAACTAATGCTCGAGAGGCCGAGAGTTTGAATAAATTACAAAAATGCCCGTTTGGTAGCACGAAAATCGGCTGTTTTGGCTGGTTCTGCTGAAATTTATGAAGTTATGGCTGAAGTGGCTGTTTTGGCTGATTCTGCTGATTCCAGAAAAAAATATTTTAAAAATATATTTTATTAATAAAATAAAGAAAAAATTACATGTAAAAATAGCTAAAATGATCATCTACAGTAACTTCAGCCAATACAGCCAGAAAAGTAACTCCAACCTTACTTTTTCTGCTTATTACACAATTCAGCACGCGAAAGTAAAAATTAAGTGTTTGGTGAAAAAGCTGGCTGATAAGCCTGATAAGCTGAAGAAAGGGGTCTCCAAACGGGCTCATATTTTACCATACACAAGGTTTTCAATCAACCGCTACAAAATAAACTCAACCTTTAACTATCTCAAATAACATTGTACTCCCTCCGTCCCCGAGAGAAGTTCCCGGGTTGACTTTCACACATATTTAGGAAATAAAGTTACTGAGGGGTAAATTTTACTGTTTGGCACTGTTTCGACACTATTTGACATTGTTTCGACACTGTTTGGCACTGTTTTGCACTGTTTTGATGTAGGATAACTTTCCATTTAGGGAAATGGGAACTTTTTGTTGGGACTACCAAAAAAGGAAAGTGAGAACTTCTCTCTGGGACGGAGGGAGTATTTAATTACATTTTGAACTTTTATGTATCGATCTCAATAACATTTTCTAATAGTTTTAACCATCTCAGTAAGTCATCAATTAAATCAAATCTGATATATGTAATTAAAGCTTTTGCACTCATCACTAACCCTTTCAAGAAGACAAGAACCCATGGATAATGAACTCAAGATTTACATTAAAAAACAACAAAAACTTCTGTAGTGGCCAAAACTTTAAATTTACAATAACATAACATTAATTCATCAATAATCCCAGTGCACTAAATCCAACTATACTAAATTAATAATATTATAACAACATTATTTATGTTATATTTTTATCTCTAAAATCTTATAAGAGCCAATGTAGGTTAGGTCATTTTAGGTATAGAAAAAGTGTTGGTGTAAAGCTTAGCATTATATACTTGTATTTCATGTTTTAAAAAATGTACACCTAATTAATATCATGATTTGGCCGTTATCCTTCCGTTACTTGAAGCGGCCGTTTAGTTGCTGTTCGGCTATTCCCATTAATATTTTCTCCAATCCAACACAACTATTCGTCTATTTGAACACCTCGAGGTTGGCTTGAACATGTACTGATGTACTACGTAACTTTGTGAAATTTATAAGGACTTTCCTGCCATAATTAACCAGATTTTTTTATGGAGAAAGCAAACAGGTCATCATCCCCTTTTAAATTCTAAAATAAACCGATCGATTAGGAATTTAAGAATAAGGATGTTTTTACTTATACCGTAATTTGTTGGTTTGATTTGGTCTGGTCTGTTTAAGTCTGGTCTAATCTGATCTGGTCTGTTTAAGTCTGGTCTGGTCCGTTTATAGTCTGGTCTGATCTGGGACTAAAAACGGTCTAAGTAAAAATATCCTAAAGGCATTTTGCACACCCTCCTGAATGTGGCTATAGATTAATCTCCTTGGATAATTGTCAAATCGGGTCCTCAAGATGGATTCTACTCCAGATAGGGGTGGACTGGGACGGGTCGGGCCTCGGGTCAGGCCCCGACAGGCTACGGGTCAAAGATTATCATGCCAGGTACCGGCCCGCATACCGGTATCGGGTCAGGTCTGGGCTACCCGGGCGGGCCTCAAGCCGGGTCGGGTCGAGCCTATTTTAATTTTTTTTGTTAATTCCATCCCCCCTACCCCCACCCCCATTCCAAACCTAGCAACCAGGCTAATGGACAATATATTTAAAAAAAATATGACCTTTGGGCCCGAACCGGCCCCGAAGTTCCACCAAAAGAGGATCCGGGTACCACCTGCTTCTTCATTCAGCTCTGGCCCCGGGCTTGGTCCCGGTCACTCG